CAGATTTAACTCAACATTTATTATATAATATATTGTTTTAAACCACTTAAACCTTTAGCAGGGCTCGAAATTGCGACCATTTTGGTCGCATATGCGCCCGAAAATTAATCTATGCGACCTCATAATATATATGGGAGCATTAGTGCGACTGCAGATAATGGTTGTAGTGTGACCTGTTTTGATTTTTTGTAAAAACGTGCTGAATCGCTCTTCCCTGCCGCTATATGGTTCATATTAGCTGTCATTCACTCAAGGTATTTCGCTGTCAGATGACAGGGAAGGAGCTTTTATGACCACGGGAAATACAAACGGCTAAAGAGTAAAGACTTAAAGCACACAGGTTTGCAAACCCCACCTAAAGTTGAGGCGCAGATGAAAGTGATCATGACACGTCACGTGGTGAATAATGATCCGCCAGCTGAGATCAATCGAGTACGCGCTTCTTGGAGAAGGTGCCCGAATCTCCCTGCGTTGCATTCACTGCGTGTTCAGCGCAAATGTCCGCTAAAAGTCAAATCTAATACTGTACATTTCATCGCCGAAGAAGCTCGCCTTTACTAAGTTTACACTGAAACTGCGGCTCATAACAAAGACCGGTATTGCGCCGATGGTTAGCCCAAGAATCCTGCTCTGCCTGCTCATAAAATAGGTCGGCTGACTCGCCAGCTTTTCCACAAACACAGAAAAATGAAGATCATCTCAGACTGAACCTTTAAATTGACACAAACTGAAACCAAAACTTTTAAAGAGTGATAGAAGTGAGACTTTACTTACTTTCTTTTGTCTATTCTTTTTTGATTTGTATATTATTTTTATATTTATTTACTGATGACTGCTTTGCAGCTTTCATCATTAAATTGAATGATTTATTATAATCTTTTGTTTGTTTTGTAGCAGAAATATTATTTATTAAATTGACATGCATATAAAAACAGCAGCACAAAATCAATATTTCTTACTGCAATGCTTCATTTTTGTTTGATGCAAACTATACAATTATTTTTATAAAGTAACAGACTTTTTATAGCAGATTACCTACATTCATGCACATTCAAGGCAGTATCATAATGAGAAATGGAATTCATTACTATTATTGTCATTTTTTATCATCATTAATATTCAATGGCCTAATTATTAGACATTCATTTTGGAATTATTGCACACAAATATCAATGTCTTCGCAGCATTAGTTAGATAGTTGTTTCTGGTTTTTGTTAGTCCTATTAATGTTGTTTTAAAATACAATAAATCCCTTAAAAAACAATTTGCAGCGGTGCTCATTCATTTTTGGTGGGTGCTCCTAAATTTTTTCTGGTGCTCCTAAAAATTTTTTGGTGCTCCTAAATATTTGAAGTTGGGAGCACCGGTGCTACCAAGTAAAAAAGTTAATTTCGAGCCCTGTTTAGAAATAGTCACTTTGATAAAATGCAGTTTGCAATTTATCATGGGTGGCACAATGGCTCAGTGGTTAGCACTGTGGCCTCACAGCAAGGTCACTAGTTTGAGTCGCGGACGGGCCAGTTGGCATTTCTGTTTGGATGTTTCCCTCTAGCTCTCCCCCACAGTCCAAACACATGCGCTATGGGTGAATTGAATAAGTGAAATTGGCCATAGTGTATGAGTGTGTGTGTGTGTGAATGTGAGAGTATATGGGTGTTTTACAGTACTGGATTGCAGCTGGAAGTGAAATAATTCATTCCACTGTGGCAATCCCTGATAAAGACTATGCCGAAGGAAAATGACTGAATTAATGAATGAATTTATCATCATCAAAAAGTCAACAAAGCACCCCATCATCATCCCATAATATAATTCACAACCATAAATAAACATTAAAACAACTGTAAATCATGAAATATGGAACGGATATTTTTGACTGCATCCTAAACTTATTAACCTACAGTAGTGTATGACCCTGAACTGAACCCAAATAAACAAGCACTGCCTGCATTAGAGTGTCTGCATAATCCCAGTGTTTGCTGCAATGGAGGGTGTGTCATTTAAAGAGACGACTGCAGCTATGAGGGGAAAACAATACCAAAGAGCAAACTCAGCACGCGCTTAACTAACTGAGCCTCATAAAACACACAGGCACTGTATTATCTTGCACATTCACATACAAAACAATCAAAAACCTACAGAAAAAGCAGCTTAAAACCCACTATAATAATGCTTGAAATGAGGCGATCTCCCATTCCCGTCAGTCTATTTGTGTTTTAGGGTTGAACATGGTGATCGATTGCTGTCTAACGGATCTGGATGAAAGGCATGTTAAAAGAGTTTGAGCTTAAAAGGACAAAAATGCGCAAGGCTGTGAAATGAAAATTCAATAGAGCGCTCATTAGCCACAGATCTACGGAGTCAGAGGTTTTAGGAGCCCATCAGCACAACAGCAACCTTTTTCAACCCATAAAAATATGATCCTTCGCTTAAACAGGAGGAAAGTGCACTGCAGAGGAGGGTGAAACCAATGCGCTCAATCTGATCACTAAAAGCAGATGCTGCATAACACACAGAAGAGATACAGCTGTGGCTGGATTAACAATAATTACTGATATTTAATACAAATACAATATTTACTGTTTTTACATTAAAAGTCATTTTCATAATAATTACTGTGAGGGGTAGGTTTATGGTAGGGGTAGATGTTAATAAAATACAATTTATGGATAATTTAATAAATAATAGAAGTAATTTTCATTATAATTAATGTGAGGGGTAGGTTTAGTATTGGGGTGGATGTTAATAAAATATAATTTATGGGTGATTTAATAATTAATAGAAGTAATTTTCATTATAATTAATGTGAGGGGTAGGTTTAGAATTGGGGTGGATGTTAATAAAATATAATTTATGGGTGATTTAATAATTAATAGAAGTAATTTTCATTATAATTAATGTGAGGGGTAGGTTTAGTATTGGGGTGGATGTTAATAAAATATAATTTATGGGTGATTTAATAAATAATAGAAGTAATTTTGATTATAATTAATGTGAGGGGTAGGTTTAGTTTTGGGGTGGATGTTAATAAAATATAATTTATGGGTGATTTAATAAATAATAGAAGTAATTATCATTATAATTAATGTGAGGGGTAGGTTTAGTATTGGGGTGGATGTTAATAAAATATAATTTATGGGTGATTTAATAATTAATAGAAGTAATTATCATTATAATTAATGTGAGGGGTAGGTTTAGTATTGGGGTGGATGTTAATAAAATATAATTTATGGGTGATTTAATAATTAATAGAAGTAATTTTCATTATAATTAATGTGAGGGGTAGGTTTAGTTTTGGGGTGGATGTTAATAAAATATAATTTATGGGTGATTTAATAAATAATAGAAGTAATTATCATTATAATTAATGTGAGGGGTAGGTTTAGTATTGGGGTGGATGTTAATAAAATATAATTTATGGGTGATTTAATAAATAATAGAAGTAATTTTCATTATAATTAACGTGAGGGGTAGGTTTAGGGTTGGTGTAGTAGTTAATAAAATATAATTTATGGGTAATTTAATAAATAAAATAAATCATTTTCATTATAATTAATGTAAGGGGTATGTTTAGTCTTGGGGTGTATGTTAATAAAATATAATTTATGAGTGATTTAATAAATAATAGAAGTAATTTTCATCATAATTAATGTGAATGGTATGTTTAGTTTTTCGGTGTATGTTAATAAAATATAATTGAAGGGTAATTTAATAAATAAAAGAAATAATTTTCATTATAATTAATGTAAGGGGTATGTTTAGTCTTAAGGTGTATGTTAATAAAATATAATTTATGGGTGATTTAATAAATAATAATAATATTTTTTATTATAATTAATGTGAGGGGTAGGTTTATAGTGGGGATAGACGTTAATAAAATATAATTAATGGGTAATTTAATAGATAATAGATTGTAATTTATTTTTGCAATATGTTGCTTGACTTTAATAGTATTATCTTTCAGTTTCTAAATATGTTTGGTGACTGAAATATTATTTAAATAAATATATCTGTTTTATAAATCTGATATATACATTGAAAATACAATGCCTATATTCACTGAGAAATGGATACAAATATTCATTTTCAAAATGGGGTACTCAATTATGCTAAGCTTATTAATATTAAATATTAATATCAATATATTCTAACTAATATATATATATATATATATATTATCGTGTACACACACAATGCAAATTTTGACATTAACAAATTAACTAAAAAGTATACTATTAGACAGACTAAAATCTAAATCAGCTAAAAAAATACATAATAATAATAATAATAATAAACACTCCTAAATTAAAAACACATTAGTATTATAAATATTATTTTAATAATTGTTAATAGTGCTGTCGGTAAAAAAAAAATAGTGAAATCCAACACAACAACTGAATAAAATAAATACCTATAGTGTGAATTTGGGATGATATCGGCTTCCTCATGTTAGATCACTGAATCTTCACCGAGTCTCTGGGCTCATGTTTGTCATGCTTTGAGTTTCAGAAGTGTTCCAGAGCAAAGGAAACCTGAACTCCATGACTTACCTGCAACACTCTTTTAATTCTACATGGAGTGAAATTAAATCTAAGAGCATTGTTTCAGCGTGCGTCTATTCTGGCTGCGCAGTTCGGACACTCAACACACATGCACAGATAACAATTGCGATTAGATGTTCCCACTGTATGTAAACCATCCCTTTTTACGAGTTATACAACAATATTAAGCACCAGTTAGTCTCAATTCAGCTCATTGTAATTGTACAATGCCGGCTGTATTTATTATTTATCGGCTGTTAACCAGTACATGCAAACAACATTGTAATTACGCTTACTATGAATATAATTCCCTTGCGCTTTCGGGTGCTATGATGAAATCGCTATGAGGAGCAGCTCAACTAAGAATGAACCCTCGAGTCGAAAGTGCTTTCCAAAACAGATGAAAACGAGTGGTGTATCAGATGGCCATGGCTAATTAATCAGCAAACAAAGAGGTACCTGTAAAACTGCAGCTGGCGTTTTGGGCTCCCGTATCTCGCACTGAGGCCAGCATGAAGAGAGAGAGAGAGAGAGAGAGAAGAAGAAACAAGAGCCAAAGGAGAGCTTAGTCTTACAGGCGAAAGGGGAAAGAACAGTGAGAGGGCATTAAACAAACACGTGCACATGCACAGACGTACTGTACACAAGTCAGACAAATAATAAACACAGATAAACTGATCTCAAGAAAACAAGAGCAGCTGATGACGACAAGAAGATGAAGCAATAAATAATGAGAAGACTTAAATGTAAAAGCACTACGCTAGTTTCTATAGATTAATTATTAGATTAGGGGATTAACTGTAGATTAAATAATAGATCAATATTTTTTATTTATGTTTATCATCACTTTAAGGCAATAAATGTATGATTTTGTTTAATAGTGCATGAGCAATTCATATTTTTGCACCAATTTCAAAAAGTCAAGACACATTTCAGGGCCGGAGTGGGACTCATTTTCAGGCCTGGAGTTTCAAGGCAGACCGGCCCATCTTAGTTCATGACTGACTATATTAAAATAAGGTCATTTCCAATTTAGTTTCTAATGGCACTATCACGTCTTTTTCAAGAAAACAGCTGCTTTAGAAATTCAAATGTTCAACAACCCTAACAGTATTATATGTCTTAACAATAAAAATGAAAAAAAAAAATAATAATAAATAATAGCCCCTTTCACACAGTGATAACGATAAATATCTGGAAAATTTCCGGAACGACTTTACCGGTATATTCAAAAAAGCTCTGTTCACACAGGCGAGGACGTTACGGAAATTTTCCGGAAAAGAGCATTCACACATCCATTCCAAAATACCGGTAAATTCTGACATCATTCACCACAAATGAGCTTTAAACGGCTGCGCTTGTATTTGTAAACATTTGACTAAATTACAAACTCTGTGGATCATCAATATTGTGAACAACTTTCGCAGGATCACTTTCGCATGTCGAGATGTTCATAATATGTGCGTGTGCAGGCGCTCATAGGCTGTATCACAGACACACGCAAAGCTTGAAGGTAAACAAACAACGGCTTATCATAAGCATCTCATCGATGATTATTTACACAGTTGGCATTAAGAAGAACATATAAACGTGATCTGACTAACTTCTAGCAGCTAAATGTGTCTGGAAAAATATTCAAAGGCTTTTATTCTCATAAACCGCGCGGACGTGAATGCGTCCGACTGTTGTGATTGGCTAAAGCAGACGTCTCACGTCAGCACGTTCTAGACGTGCACGCGCTTATTACGGCAATCTTCCTTCTGCATTCACACAGCGCAGCATTCCGGCAAATTACCGGTAATATTACAACTTCTCTTTCCGGAAAATAGCCAGAACAAATTTACCGGTATTTTCAAAAAGGACCTGTTCACACATACAACCTGCCGGCAATTTTCCGGAAAGGTCTGTATGTGTGAAAGGGGCTATTGTTTCAGGTGAGATTCGAACATGGGTCGGCGGTGTCGTAATGCAACATGCTTACCGCTGGACCACAATAATCTTTTTCTCCCCATTTGAGATTTCTGATCAAGTTATGTCAGATTTATTCATGTAGTGATTTTCATTGAGAAGGTGTATTATTCATTAGAATTAATTATTTGAATTCTTATATTTACTAAGGTGCCGCTGTTTGGGGTCGAATGATGATAGTTGCATCATCATTAACGTTACTTAACCTGCAGGCTGCATTTTGCTCACAGGGCTGCGAGAAAATGAATAAAAAGAGCGGCAATGCGGCAAAATAATGAATAAAAAGAGTGAAGCTATGGTCAAATAAATAAATAAATGAAAAAAGTGCAACTGCTAAGAGTGCAAGCAGCTAGGGACACCGGCCCTCACGGCCAAAAAAACAGACCGGCCCACCGGGAAATTCTGCAGTTCTTCCCGATTAGCCAATCCGGGCCTGACACATTTGTTAATAAGAGAGCTTTGCTTTAATGCTTGCAAACATAAACATTTGGATTTCTATCATGTCACACTGAAAACTTTTATAAATTATGATGAAGGTTAAGATAGAAATTGCAAACATTATTAGAAATGATTATCATAAATAGTTTTTTATTCATTTGTTTTAAATGTATTATGTGTTCCTTATTATTACTATTTTTTTTTTAAATATGTATTACTATTATTATTTATATAGCATACATCCAGAAAATAAGGAATAATTTTAAATAGTAAATTATAATATAACATTTATCAATATATAATACACTACCTGACAAAAGTCTTGTCATGGATCTCCGTTGTAAGAGCAGCAATTAATAACTTGACTTCTAGTTGATCATTTGGAAAAGCGGCAGTAGGGGGGATTTTTTTGCTGAATCATCAGTTGATCTGCATCCCAATCATCACACATACTGCAGAAAACCTACTGGAACCCGCATGGAGACAAGATTCTCACGGAATTCAGTCAAGTTTGTTGAAGAAAAAGTCATGGTTTGGGGTTACATTCAGAGTGCGAGAGATCTGCAGAGTGGATGGCAACATCATCAGCCTGAGGAATCAAGACATTTGTGCTGCCCATTACATTGCAAACCACAGGAGAGGGACAATTCTCCAGCAGGATAGCGCTCCTCATACTTCAGCCTCCACATCAAAGCTCCTGAAAGCAAAGAAGGTCAAGGTGCTCCAGTATTGGCCAGCCCAGTCACCAGACATGAACATTATTGAGCAGGTCTGGGGTAAGATGGAGGAGGAGGCGTTGAAGATGAATCTAAAGACTCTTGATGAACTCTGGGAGTCCTGCAGGAATGCTTTCTTTGCATTCCAGATGACTTTATTAATCAGTGATTTGAGTGAGTGCAGAGATGTATGGATGCAGTCCTCCAAGCTCATGATGGAGTCAGACACAATATTCATTCTGTCTCCACTGCAGCAGGACTTTATATTCTATACTGGACATTATTTCTGTGACAAGACTTTTGTTTAAGCAGAGTCAGACCTTACTGTCCTAGTTAAATAATTAAAAATAAAGGGCATGATCATATTTTATTTTGGTAAAATAAAGCGCAATATAGAGGCCTTTGCCTTTCATATTATCCACTTCTCATACCAAATGATCAAATAGAAGTCGAGTTATTTGTTTTTCCAAAAAACTTGGATTGGCGACAAGACTTTTGTCAGTGGCGTATGTATATATATATATATATATATATATATATATATATATATATATATATATATATATATATATATATATATATATTTTTTTTTTTTTTTTTTTTTTTTTTTTTCCCAGTACACATTCATTCAACAACAACAAAATTGTTATTATTAAACTTGGCATTGATCTACCAAATCCACATTACAATATCCTCAATACACAAGGGCTTGGAAAGTCAATATTTAAGCAAAAAAAAAGTGTGAAAGTGATCTTTAACAGGTTTTTTATGGGCTTGTTTTTGTCTAGAAGGGTTTCAGAAGTGCTCCACAGCAAAGGAAACCCGATTTCACTGATTTCAGACTAACATCACAAATTACAAAGCTATTTATGTGTGTATTGTCTGCTGCTTTCTTCTCTTCAGCTAACACACATTAAAATGACTGCATCAGTTGAGCTTAAACAACGCCTGAAATTACACTGCTGTGGCGACCCCTGAGAGTCAAGAAGGAAAGTGAGCGAGTGTAATTACGCCAGAACTCAAAATAGATCTGCATCACCACCTGCTGTTCAAAAGCAGAACTTCAAGCTAAAGTTGAAGGCGATGAAACCCCCAGGAGCCACAGATCAGAGCAAACTCTCAGTCAATCAGGAACTTTCCAGAAGTGGCGAGATCAAGTCTGGCTCTGATTAAGTGGACATTACATAAAGCACTCGACCAGTGCAAAACCCTGCAAAATGCTGCTTAAATCACTCAGTGTGCTTGATGAACATAATTAAACATAACTAATCGCTTGTATACAGCCTAGAGCGAGGATAAAGCAGCTTTTGAGTGGTGCAAATTTATCTTTCTGTGAATTATCACAGTAATTCAAGAGGAACTAATAATGTGGCACATCATCAATAAAGTGGTTTAATAACGATGAACAGTTTCAGATCATAACATCTTAGAGGTCTGTAAAACTTTTTGAAAACATTTATGAAGGTGTGAGTATGTTTTGTGCATATCTGACACTTCTCAGAACATCCTGCACAGTCACACAGAGTTTCTGAGACTTGCAAAAAAAAAAAAAAACATGCATAAACATTTTAACCTTTTAACCTGAACTAAATCTGATGAAGCGAGTTACGATGAAGCATTAAATAAACACAACTTGCAAGCCATTAAATTTAGAGTACTTTGTAAATTAATGCTGTACGTTAACAGTTAACAGTGAGTTTATTTCAGGACATGGACAAGCACTATCAAATACTATTCGTTTTAAAACAAGCACTTTGTAATTCATACCAATGCATATGAAGCACTGTTCAAATCTGTGGCATAACATTTAACTTTACTTTACATTAAAAATATCAAAGTCATTTTAAACAGACTTGTTTGAAGACAGGGTTCCTGCAGGTTTCATCTTACAGGACTCACTGGGCTAAACACTAATGAATATTTTTCATTTTATATTCTCTATTTCTGGCGGTTGGGCCAATACACAAAAATCAAATGTAATTATTTCTTAGAAGCTACTTTAATGTGTCAAAAAAAGAAAACTCTAAAGTTGTATACACTTTTTTTCTACATTATACATTCTACATTCTTTTTTTTATGTCTACTGCTTACTTCTGTAAATATATTGCTCTGTGATTATCCTGAGGAACTGTGTAATTGTTTTTAGTTTTATGTCTGTTTTTATTAAGACGGATTGTTGGTGATTGGATGGATGTAATCTGAATGTGTAGCTTTACTTGGACATATGGAAATTAAAATAATTTAAGACACACAACACAATATTTCAGTGAATTAAACTTTTTAGGCCCTAAAATTCGGACTTTAAGACCATGTGGACACCCTGTGAAGAACTTTAATACAATTAGTTGAATTTAATACTGGTAATATTCAAATGCAGGTGCTAAAATATTGATCACTTGCGCATTATTTTTCATCGTTATTGTACAAGATTTTAAAAAAAGTAAGATTTTACATGAAGAATTTCTCAGTTTTTGTTCTTCATTTTTGCACAGTACAATTGTTGAAACAAACAAATTTAATTCAAGCACTTTCAAGAACTATGTTTGTTTTTAAGTACTTTCCAGGTCTTGAATGCATATTTCTGAAACTTAAGTACTTTCAAGAAGCATAGGAATCTTGAAATAATTAATATATTATGACCACATTGTGGGCTCATTCAGTGAGAAAAAAAAATTCTTTTATTTGAGCAAGGATGCATAAAACTAATCTAAAAGTGAGGGTTAAAACCCTATAATGTAACCAAAAATGAATAAATGGTTTTAAAAATGATCCAGACACAAACAGTTATCACAAAAAAATGAAGCAGCAACTGCTTTAAACATTAATTAAAAATGAACAAATAAAATACGTTTGAAATAACACCATAAACTTTCAAGAACTACATTTGTTTTAAGTACTTTACAGGTCTTGAATACAAATTTCTGAAACTTAAGTACTTTCAAGAAGCGTAGAAACCTTGTAATAATTCATATTTTATGACTAAAATGTGGGCTCATTCAAAAAAATAAGCTTTCTTTTTTCTTGTAATTTGAGCAAGGACGCATAAAACTGATCAAAGGGGTAAAAAAAATATAACCAAAATTAAATAAATGTTTTTATAAATATTCAGACAAAAACATTATTACAAAAAATTGAAGCCGGAACTTCTGAAGTAAAATAAGTTTCTTGAGCAGCAAATCAGCACAGTGTAATTATTTCTGAAGGATGATGTGATGCCAAATATTATTATATACATAAAAACTGTTATTATAATCTGAAAATAGCATACAGTACTATCTTTTTAAAGTACTTTTGATCAAATAAACAGCCTTGGTAAGCAGAAAAGATGTTGATCTTGATAAACCACACACTGTTGGAAGTACTTTCCTTTTATACACTCTCAAAAATAAAGGTACAGAACTTTCACTGTGGTGGTACCATTTCAAAAAGGACTCTTTTGTACCTTACAGGTGCACATTGGTACCTTAAAGGAACATTTTTGTATCTATATACTTATGTACTTATATACTTTTGTACCTTTAAGGTACTTTGAAGTACACAATTGTCCTTTTTAGGTATAAATATGTACCTTTGTGGTACAAAAGTGGACATGAAAGATATAAAAGTGTAGCTTTAGAAAAGCTTCTGCCCCAGTGACAGCTTTTATACATTTATTTCTGAAAGTGTAAATGTTCCTTGTTGTGCAAACAATAGTACAAACGGTTTTTTCCAGACCTTGAGTTCATGCATTGAGAATGGAGTTTAAAAAAACACAAAGACTGATGCAAAAGCACAAGACTGAAGCAGCTGTTTAGAGGTGAAGATGTGTGAATATACTGTAAGTGTGTACAGACCTGTAGACCATGCCCGGAGAGCCGGTCTGTCTGAGAGAGAGCCGGGCAGGAGAGTCTGTGGTCGATTCGGGATACATGGGGAACGGGACACCGGGGGTTTGGCCAGGCTGAAGAGGGGGTCTCTCGCTCTCTCTTTCTCTCCTGTTAACCAGCACGTCTGTCTCTCACCTTACAGGAGCTCTGAAAAACACAAAGACGGATCAGAATGCATTACATACTAGGTTTATAGATTCTGATGGTACAGTATGATAACCTTGGGAAAAATTGTATCCCGGTTTTGTGTTTACTGCTCTAAAATAGGTTTTTAAAATGTCTGTGTAAAAAACTTTTTTTTTTTTACCTCGTTGAACAAATACCTTGACTTGTAGTTTTTTACCTCGTTGAAATATACTTTATTTTAAGACACATCTCAAATACTTTGGCACCATAAACATGTCAAGCTAATTAATTTAAATAAATCATTGACTTCTGCTATCTTAATTAGTTTCAAAATAGATTTCTTTGCAACTTGAAAGGCATCTTGGATCTCTTTGTTTTTTTTGGATTTACAGTCAAGCCACTGCACTGTTCGGCTCTATACAGGGTTCCTGCAGGTTACATTTAGAATTTTTAAGACCATCATGAATGAAATTGTAGACACAAAGCGCCAAAGGCTAAGGAAGTTTTCAAATGGCCCAGATGGAGATTTTTATTTGCCCTATCAAAAAACATATCGTTATGTATTTGTGTTTTTTTTTCCTCTCTCTCTCTCTCGCTCTGTTCTCCCATATCTACTCTCATGTATTCTCAGGTTCCGTTCATTGGTCCATTCAGCTGTCAGTCATTCCTCCCCGGTTACGTCACATCCAATGAGCAAAGACCACCCGTGATAAAAGCGTGCGCCAGACCACTCGCTCTCTCTTGCTTGCATTTTTCTCTTTTGCTGTTTTGTGGCTTGTTTGTATTTACCGCGTGCGTTTAGAAATTACCCCGTCTAACTGTGTATTTTGTTGTTGCTTGTTTCTGTGTGCACGTTATCCGTCCGTTATTCGTACATTGTTCTTAGTTTATCGTTGTTTACGAGGCTTGGACGAAGCGGACAGGTAAGAAGGTCACGTGACATGCATTTCGCAACACATAGGACTACTCTGCTGTCTAGTACACTAGGTTAGGGGCGAGCGCCACTCCTTGTACATTTTGGATAGATAGATAGAGTAGATAGTTAGGACTCGGAAGATCTTCGTGTGTTAATTATACTGTTTTTCACATAGTTAGTTAGCTAGATGCTTCTGGGAAGTTAGATTTAGTTTGGGTTTTGTTCTTTTCATTTCTTTAGCGCCGCCCGCGTCCCTTCTGCCAGCTCTCTTGTTTTTCCCGTCGTTATTTGTTTCAGTGTTGTACATATTGTAAATAGTATATTTTTGCTTTACTTACTTTTTCTTTATTTTTGATTAATTCGTTGTTGTTGTTCACTTTGGGATTGTAAATAAAAGCACACATTTTTTGGCATTACTTTGGTTGTCTTTCCACTCATTCACTGTTTATATAAATATATTTTAATTAAATAAATGTCAAACCCCACACCCTAGACTAACATCAGGGGTTTGTAACACATATTATTATTGAATACATTTAATAACACAAAAATACTAAATAATAATAAATAATAATAAACTATTTAAATATTTTGCATTTTATTTTTTAGCAAAATATTTTAAATATTGTTTAAAAACAAGTGAGCTCTAGTTGTATCCATACACTTTCTTTAAAATAAAAGAAAATGAACAAATGTTTTAAAAACTATAATAAACTAAATATATGCACAGAAATCTGTCCAGGTCCGTGTCCTCAGCAGTAAAATATAAAGAGAACATTTAAAGAAATGTTATTGTAAGGAAAATAATTAAACCATTATGATAAATAGAGTTAAAATGACCTTTTTAAATAAAAAGTTTAAAGTTTTATTAAGATGTTTGTTGGTGATTGTATGGGTTTTGGCCAAATTTGGTAGCAATACATGAACAAAGAAAAAATTAAGACCTGTTTAAAAAAGATTTAAGACCTACAACACAATATTTCAGTCAATTTAAGACTTATTAAGGCCTAAAATTTGGATTTAAGACCTTGCAGAAACCCTGCCTGCTTACATGTAAAGTGTTGGAGATACTGTTGCCCTAAAAAACTAAATGAAATAGTCATAAAAAACAGGCAAAAAACATTTACTGTACTTATACCGTAGGAAACTGAAAACAGAACATTTTGGCGGTTTTAAAAACCTTCACTTTTCCAAACTGTGGTAAACCTTTAATCTGGTTCTCGTCCCAGGCCTACACCATCCACATAATCATGGAGAACTTAAAGGACGACACATGTTGAAAAAACTCATGCCAGGACAACACATACACTTAATCCACAAATACACTGCATTAAACATGTACACACAGACATCACCTATACGCTATGAATATTTGCAGGTAAACTATGTTTATATTTAACAACTTCTATCTGATGTAACTTTAGCTTAATGTGATTGTAGTGCAATAATGTGCACCTATTGTAAAGCTGCTTTGAAACAATAATTATAGTAGAAAGCGCTACACAAATAAACTTTAATTGAACTCATGAGCAGCACTGTAGAGATAAATGCACAGGAATGCATGGCCACCACTAGAGGGCGAAACAGGACAACAGTAAACGATAATGATTATCAGTGCAGCAACATCAATAACATTAAACAAACAAAAAAATAACAATAATAATTCATTTGTGCAGCTAATCTGTAATGCATACAGTAAGCCGCAGAACTATAATTTGTTTTAGTACTGCGGTTGAAGGTTGCATTCACTGTGATGAAGGCAAATAGTTACTATGAAATATATAGGCCTATATAGCTTACTTGTGTGTATACAAAAATACAATAAGCTATTACGAAATTGCCATTCAACCCACATAATAACACATTTGCAGCAGTAACAAATGGCATTTGCTGCAAACAATATTGATTTAAAGGTAAAGTTTACTCAAAAATGAAAAAAAAAAAAACTTCTAAACTTAAGGATTTCTTCTTTATATATATTTATAAAGCAGTGGTTCTCAAAGTGGAGGTCGGGACCCCTCGGGGAGAAGTGGGACGAGGGGTGAGGGGGGGGTCGCTTGGCGATTTCCAAAAATCAACATTTTATTAAACTAATAGAATTACCTTGATTACTCTTAACCTGCTGGAGAACCAAATAGTAGTTAATAGTAACATTGCTAACATATTAATCATAAACATTAAAAAACAGCATGCAACTAAAAAGCCATCAGCCTTTCAAAAGGTTTTGTTTTTGCGACCCCATGGGTGATTGATTCCGTTATATTACAGACACAGCAATAGCGTTGATTTTATGGCACCAGGTTAAACTTTGACACCTTTACGGCACTCACGTACATTAAAAATAAACACAGACCACAACTGAACATGGAGGATGCTCTCCGAATGGTGTTCTCCTAAAAATAGACTTAAGTGTAAATAGATTCGGTGTGTGTTTACCGTTGTGTGCAAGGTTTATGTATTTCTAACCACTTTAGAGGATAAGGGGGGTTGCGAATCACTGGTATTGTTATTTTGGGGGTAACAGGCTAAACAGTTTGAGAACTCCTGTACTAAAGGATGCCTTCTAAAGGATGCTGGAAAAAGATGGCATTGAGATCCACAGCAGAACCATTGGAAGTCAATGGCTGATTTTAGGTATTCTTCAGTAAATCTTCCTTTGTGTTCAATAGAGGAAGAAAAAACTCCATGTGGTTTTGAAGTGGAGGATGGAGTTAGGCCCAGTCCCAATTCATTTTTTACCCCTACCCCTTCTTCTTGGCCCTTGAGACAGAGTGTGAAGGGAAAAGGCTTCAAATTTTATCCATAAGAAATGGGAAACCACTTTTCATTCTTTTATTTAACACATTTTAATCTGTTTTTATCAGTTTTAAATATTTCTTATTTATACGTGTTTTTTTATTTTCTTTTGTCCTGTTTATTCCTGTTTATGTAAAGCACTTTGAATTGCAACTGTGTATGAAATAAATAAACTTGCCTTACAACACTTGCACAAGTCATATGTCATCGCAAGCAAAGTTTAGCGGGTTTTTTTTAGCATATTTTTTTAAGCATGGACGTAAAACAAAAACGCTAATTTAAATGTATTAAAACATGTGTGTGTTTGTTGTAAAAATTCTTAATAATGACAAAAAAAAAATACTAATTTGTGCATCTCCTTACTTCCGTGTGCAGCCATGCTGCTGTTGTAGATGGTGTGTTCTGGGAAATTTTCGTACCCCTTGGTTTTGAGTGTGGTCTTGAAAAATCTCAGTTTTAAGGGCTATCTAGCCCTTCCCCTCAGCCCTACGCCTTCAAGCTGAAGAGAATTAGGACACCCTGAACCCTTCATGTCAATGCACAAAACGAGGGTTAGGGGTAAGGGGTAAAATTGGTATCGTGCCTTAATGATGAGAGAATTAAAATTTTTGGGTGAACTGTGCCTTTAAATAGTTGAGACTGGATAAGTGAGGCAAATGCACTGAATACACATACTGTGTGAGATCATCGGCTTGAAGAAAGTGTGAAAGACAGGCTGCTGTCCAACACTCTTCAGTCCTGCCCTTGCTAGAGTGCCTCTAAAAGGCGCCGCATTTCTAATGCATAATACACGAAACATGTACCCAAAATGAAAGATAGAAGGAGAGAAAGAGGAAAAGAAAGAAACATGATGGTTAAAAGACAGAGACTGAAAGGAAACTGAGGAGTTCTGAGGAGAGAAATTTATATGGCATGGAAAAGGAAAATAATTTAGAATAACGGAAAGATTGAGATGTATTGATAAATAAAGATGGCATAAAATCAATTAAATACATTTTATACTGACATGTGCATACACTATTTGCTGAACAACATACTTCTTTAAGATATAGTTTACCAAAAATAGAAAATTCTGCCATAATTTACTCATTATATTGAAAAAAATCTGACAGATAGTTTTTTTGGGATATACATTGCAATATGAATATAATATATCCAGATGATTTGAATAGATCTATTAGGTAAGGTTTCATTAATTTAGATTAACTGCTTTACAATATCATATTTGAGCATATACATGAGTTTACTGAAGCCAAATCTGTAGCTTATCTAACAAAATAACTTACAAAAATGGTTCAAAAATTAGTAG